GGATCACTTGAGCCCACGGCACTCTAGCCTGGGCAACAGACTGAGACTCTGTCTAAAAAAAAAAAAAAAAAAAAGGCAAATAAAAGCACTGGAGACCAGCCTGAGCAACACAGTGAGACCCCATCTCTTCAAAAAAATAAAAATAAAAATAAACAGAAAAATTAGCCGGGCATAGTGGTGTGCCTGTAGTCCCAGCTACTTGGGAAGCTGAGAAGGGAGGATCACTTGAGCGCAGGAGTTGGTGGCTGCAGTGAGCTGTGATGACACCACTACACTCCACCTTGGATGACAGAGAGAGACTCTGTCTCCAAAAAACAAAAAGAAAGAAAGAAAAGCACTGGGGGCTTTTTGCTTCAGCCAGTTCAGAACGGAGGTGCTCAGGCTGCTTTCCCCCAAGGTTCCATGCTCAGCTCTCAAGAACGTATCAGACGGGGTACCCAACAGCACCTAAGAGTGTCCCTCTGAGCTCAGCAACCACTCCTCAGACAGTCGAGTCACCTATAGAATGGCATACAGCCTATCTACAGTCTCCTGCAGTTGAGTGTCTCAGCCTGTCCAGCTTCCCACTGTTGTTTTAATGGACCTAATTCTCTGCTTTAGAAATAAAGGCCTTTGTGATGTGGCTACAGATTTTTGACTAAGAAAAAGACTCTATGCAAAACCAGCAAAGTCCTCAGGCCAGACTGGAACTTTAAGGGGAGAACAAACAGGACATGGCCAGTAGTCACACTGCTGTCCACACTAGAAAAGCTCCGTTGTCTCACAAGTACTAGCAGGGTGACAAGGACTCAGAGAAGAGCCACCACACTGCCACATTCCTCAGGCTTCAAGAGGCCACCAGGACAAAGAGGGAGACAGAGCAGATGCCAAGAGGACCCTTTTCTTGGTCCAGAAATGTCCCCAACTGGGAAATCCAAGTTTCTGACTCCTCTCTGGACCCCTGGTTTACATACCTCCAGGCAGACATCGTTCTCCTCCTCCATGGCTAAAATCAGAACAGTCACAGGTGAAAAGAGACAGACTGAGGCCAACAAGGGCACACAGCCACCAGCTCATGTGCACATCAGGACACCCGTGGTTTCAGACTTTTCCCCTAGGTTCCTTTTCAAGTCAAATTATGCTTTCACTGAGAGGAAAACTCTGCTGAAAATGCCTGTTCTCCGTGAAGAAAAGTTGTCTTTGCAGAAGCCTCTGTTGCCTCTCTAGAAGCCACTTCCTCCTCTCTGTAAACAGCCCTCACCCAGGACAGCAGCCAAGTCACGGGGCTCAACTCCAAGTAGGTCCAGGGACTCTGGGCAGCTCAGCCGGGCCTGGTACAGGGCCCAGGGGCAGCCTGTGGGTAGAGGCACTGGGGAGGAGCACCACTGCGCAGTGGGCACCACTGTGGAGAGGGCTGGGGAAGGGCTCACCACTGTGGAGGGGGCTGGGACTGAGAAGTCACTGCTGGGGAGGGGGCTGGGACTGAGGAGAAGTCACCACTGGGGAAGGGGGCTGGGACTGAGAGGTCACCCCTGAGGAGGGGGATGAGACTGAAGAGAAATCACCGCTGAGGAGGGGGCTGAGACTGAGGAGAGGTCACTGCTGGGGAGGGGGCTGGGACTGAGGAGAGGTCACCCCTGAGGAGGGGGCTGAGACTGAGGAGAGGTCACCACTGAGGAGGGGGCTGGGACTGAGGAGAGGTCACCCCTGGGTAGGGGGCTGGGACTGAGGAGAGGTCACACCTGAGGAGGGGGCTGGGACTGAGGAGAGGTCACCGCTGGGAGGGGGCTGGGGCTGGAACTGAGGAGGGGTCACTGCTGGGGAGGGGGCTGGGACTGAGGAGAGTTCACCGCTGGGGAGGGGGCTGGGACTGAGGAGAGGTCACCGCTGGGGAGGGGGCTGGGACTGAGGAGAGGTCACCGCTGGGGAGGGGGCTGGGACTGAATTGGGGTCACCGCTGGGGAGGGGGCTGAGACTGAGAAGAAGTCACCGCTGAGGAGGAGGCTGGGACTGAGAAGGGGGCTGGGACTGAAGAGGGGTCACCGCTGGGGAGGGGGCTGAGACTGAGAAGAAGTCACCGCTGGGGAGGGGGCTGAGACTGAGAAGAAGTCACCGCTGGGGAGCTGAGACTGAGAAGAAGTCACCGCTGAGGAGGAGGCTGGAACTGAGGAGGGGGCTGGGACTGAAGAGCGGTCACCGCTGCAGAGAGGGACGACACCAGGCCAGGCGCGGCCGGGGAGGGTGGGAGGCAGACGTGACACTGTCCAGGGCTGCTAGCTCAGTGCGCAAGATAGTGTGTTGGGTCCGGAGATGACGAACTCGGGACTGCGAGGACCTGAGGCTCCCGCGGGGAGGAGCCTCGCTACAACGCGGCGCCCTCAGGCTGCAGACCCCGACCCGCGAGCGGCCGGCCTGACGCCACCTCAGGGCTGCAGCGACCGAATCCCCCCGGGACGCCGCGGGCCCCGCAGGCGGGCGAACCCGAGGCAGCGGCAGGCGACTCCAGGGACCAGGCTCCGTAGGCGTGCGGCGCGGAGGCGGGAGCGGAGGGCGACACCACGACAGGATTGCGCCCAAGACCCGCCACCTCAGGGCGCGCAGGCTGTGACTCACCCAGCCCGCGCTCCGGACGCCCCGCCCCAGCGTCATGACGTCCCTGACGCCCCGCCCCGGATCTTCCCACGCATTGGCCGAGTCCCCTGAGGTCACGCCCCCGCGTAGCGCTGAGGCTGCTCGTTGGATGCGGCGGCAGCCAATCGGAGCCGCTCTTGCTGCAGTGTGTCGGCCACTCGCGCCGGCCGGAAGCGGAGCAACGTTGCGTCCGGGCTTGGTGTCGGAGCTGCTGCAGGCCGCGTGGGGGCTCGCGCGGGATCCGCAGCCCAGACCCTTGCGCGAGCAAGCGGGTCAGGCAGGGTCCGGGCTCCGCAGGGCGGCGCAGCATGGGCGTCCTGAGCGCGGCGGCCCGGGTCGTGGTCCGCGGCGCGGACAGGATGAGCCAGTGGACGAGCAAGCGAGGGCCGAACACCTTCCGCAAGGGCCGGGGCGCCAAGAGCACCGGCGTCCTCGCCTCGGGCTGGAAGTTTGTGCAGATAAAGGAGAAGGTCCCGGAATTCGTCGTCCCGGACTTGGCCGGCTTCAAGCTCAAGCCCTACGTGAGCTACCGAGCTCCTGAGGCCGCCGACGCTCCGCTGACGGCCAGGAAGCTCTTCGCGGAAGCAGTCGCCCCTGCCATCGAGAAGGACTTCAAGGACGGCACCTTCGATCCTGACAACCTGGAAAAGTACGGCTTTGAGCCCACACAGGAAGGCAAGCTCTTCCAGCTGTATCCGAGGAATTTCCTGCCCTAGGGGGCAGAGCAGGAGTGACCTAGGGTTTTGCCTCTGAGCTGGAGACTGCATTGATCCATTCTCACAGATCGTGAATCCCGGGGGAGTGGGGCGGTCGTTCCCTCGTCTCGTTTCTATTAAAGGCCTTTGCTACTCTCTACACAGCGTGTGTTTTTGGCATCAGGTCGTGGGAAAGTGAGGCACAAATGATTTCGGTGCAGAGTTCTCATACGGAGACTCCCTTCACTGGAAACCCTTTGGAAGAAGTCACCTTCTCCACAAAAGGGTTTTGGGAGCATGCCAATGGCGAATACATCACTCCACTTACAGGAGGAAGAGAATTTACAAGGCAGGTTGTGCCAGGTGACAACACTAGTTAGTTCATTCCCCAAATTCCTCACCCAAGAAACAAGGAGCATATTCTTTATGGGGTTTCAAGGCAACAGTTTGTTTTGGTCAGGTGAAGGTAACTGCCCCTCTTGGGGCAAACCTAAAGATGAGGCCACACCAGAAGTTAGCGTCAAACTGGGATTTCTTTTGTAAACCAGTCCCTCTTCTTTGTGTGTGCCTGTTTCAGTGCATATCTGGCAGATCTTCTATATTGTTTAATATCTAGTTGACTCTTTAGTTAAATATCCTGGCCAGGCATGGTGGCTCACGCCTGTAATCCTAGCCCTCTGAGAGGCCGAGATGGGAGGATCGCTCAAGCTCAGGAGTTCGAAACCAGCCTGAGCAAGAGACCCCGTCTCTACTAAAAATAGAAAGGCATTAATTAGCCAACTCAAAATATACATAGAAAAAAAAATTAGCTGGGCATGGTGGTGCACGCCTGTAGTCCCAGCTACTCAGGAGGCTGAGGCAGAAGGATTGCTTGAGCCCGGGAATTTGAGGTTGCTGTGAGCTAGGCTGATGCCACGGCACTCTAGCCAGGGCAACAGAGTGAGACTGTCTCAAAAATATATATATATATCCTTAACACAAACTCTAAGGGAGGATTCAACATGTTTCTATAGATATAAAAGGGCCATTGGGCCGGACACAGTGGCTCATGCCTGTAACCCTAGCACTCTGGGAAGCCCAGGCTTGTGGATCATTTGAGCTCAGGAGTTTTGAGACCAGCCTGAACAAGAGTGAGACTCGTGTCTACTAAAAATAGAAATTAATTGGCCAACTAAAAGTATATAGAAAAAATCAGCAAGGCATGGTGGTGCATGCCTGTAGTCCCAGCTACTTGGGAGGCTGAGGCAGAAGGATTGATTGAGCTTTGAGGTTGCTGTGAGCTAGGCTGACACCACGGCACTCTAGTCCAGGCAACAGAGTGAGAGTCTGTCTCTAAATAAATAAATAAATAAAAGGGCCATTAGCTGGCCATTTCTACCTTAACATAGAAAAATTTCTCATAGTAATTTGACTTACGTTTGGCCTGTTGTGTCCTAGCTTCAGAATAGAAGAAGGCAAAGGATAGAAGTCCATGTTTTCTGCTTCTAAGCACCTATGTACGTTAGTAAATGCTGAGCATTTGACCGATTTTACAGTGGCCTGTACTTCAACCACACAGCTCCACCCAGAGACAAGAATATTCTAAGTGGGAGTCAGGTGTCACACATCTAGCTTGTTCCGGCAGGCACCATCTGTCCCAGATTTGGAAGCGAATAGGTTTTTTTTCTTATAATTTTTTTCAAGCCAAACAAGTTATAGAAGCGTATAGTTTTTTTAATGCCACAATCATGGAATCATTAAGTGCCTCACACTGACTTCACATATTTCCAGTTTATGACCCCCTAAGGCAACTCAGGACAGATTTACGCTTCTTCCTTTTGTTTATCTGCATAGGGGTCTAATACAGGTGGCGCATCCCTCATCAGAAATGCTTGGGACCAGAAGGGTTACAGATTTCAGATTCTTCTGGATTTTGGAATATTTGTATATATACACAATGAGTTATCTTGGGAATGGGATGGATCTGAGATTAAACATGAAATTCAATTGTTTCATATACACCTTATACACATAGCCTAAAGGTAATTTTATACAATATTTTTAATAATACATGCAACCTGTCACATGAAGTCAGGTATGGAATTTTCCACTTGGGGAGACATGTCTACATTTAAAATTTTCAGATTTTGGAGCATTTAAGATTTCAGATTTGTGGATTAGGGATGCCAAACCTGTACAAGCACTTCTGGTGCTACGATGAGGTGATCTAAGTGTTCATTTGAAATTACTTTTGATGTTATAAAGTAACTTTTTTTCTTCTTAAACTTAATTTAATTAATATACATAGTTGCTTAAACATGTATGAAGGGCTGAAAGTTAAAATCTACCTGAGAAACAGACAAGTTTGTTCTCTGAAACCAAGTCTTTTCCCCACTCACAGCCAGACAGCACCACCCAGTCTGTTTCCATGGCCTGGCAGGGGAGCCAACAGCTGTTGTGACTGTCCACTCGCCCCCAGGGTTGCAGGAACAATCTCAAGTGAGCCACAGGCAGTTCCCTCACGAAGCCACACTCTTGGGTGACTTCTGGGAATGGTCTTCATGATCTTCAGCCCAGGTCATCCCCCACTTCCAGAGGTGGAGAGCATGGTCATAAAAGGAGCAAGTAGCCAAGAGGCTGACGTCCGAGCTCACCCCTTCCACGTGTGTGTCTCGGTCACAGGGCTTGGCAGCTTTAGCGGCCAGTTCGATGCCAGTCTTACTCCTGTTCTCTGGGAGTGGCTCGACGCCACTCTGGAGTTTGGCAGGGCCCTCCCCGTCGTCATTTACTATGCGTTCAAAAGAGTGTGCTGGCAACCCACCTGCAACCTTCACGTCTGCTGGTCTGGATCCTGGGTCGCTCTGAAGACAGGACCACGAGCGTATGGGCTGTGGAGAATGGACAGGGAGCCAGGACCAGTCGGCTCCATACACCAGTGAGTTGGGCAATGCCTGGGACACCAAGACTGTCGCTTCCTGCCCCTCCTCTGGGGCGAGAGAGATAGGAGAACACAGGAAACAGCGTTACCCAGAGTTGATCAGCCCCAACCAATGCCCCTGTCTACCCTCAAAGGGGGTGACTCCACCAGGAGTAGCCCCTGTGAGTCACGAGGAGGTATCAAGACCTGGACAGAGGCCAGGCGTGGTGGCTCACGCCTGTAATCTAGCACTCTGGGAGGCCAAGGCGGGAGGATCGCTCAAGGTCAGGAGTTTGAAACCAGCCTGAGCAGGAGTGAGACCCCTGTCTCTACTATAAATAGAAAGAACTTAATTGGTCAACTAAAAACATATAAAAAATTAGCCGGGCATGGTGGCGCATGCCTGTAGTCCCAGCTACTCAGGAGGCTGAGGCAGAAGGATCACTTGAGCCCAGGAGTTTGAGGTTACTGTGAGCTAGGCTGACGCCACGGCACTCCAGCCTGTGCAGAGTGAGACTCTGTCTCAAAAAATAAAAAATAAAAAGACCCGGACAGACAGGTGGAGAAGAAAATAGACATTTTCCCTTGCGGTGCACACAGGACGTGTTCCTCAGGGAGAGGAATCAGCTGGGGCTATAGAACCACACGTGAGGGGTGCTCTTCCAAGTTGGAGAACTTAACAAAAGCTTCTCAGGGGGATATAACTCAGTTAAGACTTAAAAGCAAAGGACAAAGGAGCTGGCCAGATGGGAGAGAAGGGACGTATGAGAAACAGGGAGCACATGTACAGGCCAAGGTGAGAACGGCCACGGCACCGTCCAGCTGCACACATGCTGCTATAGCTGCAGCACCACAGGCCCCATTTCAGGGTTTGGATTTTGGCATGAAAGGGGGTCACTGACAGGTTAAGCACAAGCAGTTTCTCTGTAAGTTGTCATGGCACCTGGGGGATGGAAGGCAGGATGGAAACAGGCCTGGGAGCGTTCCAGACAGCGCACAGCAATGGGCGGTGTGCAAGGGACGTTACGACCAGAAAGAAATGACAAAGTGTGGCCACACCCGAGATGTCTGGGGTCAGGAGGCCAGGCCAGGGCTGTGAGAGCAGTCGTGGAGAGCCAGGAGAAGGTGAGCTGGGGGTGCAGACTTAAAAGCCTTTCAGCCAGCTGGGGGCTGCCTGGCTCTGGAAGGCCAGGGGGCCACGCAGGTTTTCAGTGAGCCTAGACGGTCACCATGCTCTGAAAGGGCTGTCATCGCTCCCTCTGAAGCACAGGGATCAGTGCCAGTGATCTGAGTCAAGACCAGAATGGAGCACTGAGGAAGGCAGGCTGAGGGCAGACCAGGATGCTGGAATGAGGAAACATGGCAGGAATGGAGTCACAGCACAGGAGACCCGGCTCCCTGAGCCCAGAGGTGGACCCAAGGGGGAGCAAGAGGCTGAACCTTCCGAGACAGCCACAGGGGCACTCGGGCAGCACGCACCGGTCAGCCCCGGGGAGGAAGCCCCAGGTGAAGCTGCTGCTGTCTCTGGGAGACGCTGCCCCGAGTCACTGGGCAGGAAGGACCTCAGCTTGTCTTTCACCTGACAGTCGCTCCACACACCCGCCCTGGGACAGGGCCTCTTCTAAGGCTTCAGAAAGGTAACAAGACTGTGTCTCACAGAGCTCACACTGGTGGGGAAGACACCATGAATGAACGAACAAAAGACACTGCCGACTGGGAATTAGTGCTGTGAAGAACCAGGGCAGGGGCGGGACTCTCAGGAGTGGGTGCTGAAGGTGCACATGCCCTGAGGAGACAGGTGCCATGGCTCACGCCGGTAATTCCAGCACTTTGGGAGGCTGAGGCAGGAGGATTGCTTGAGGCCAGGAGTTCAAGACCAGCCTGGGCAACATAACAAGACCCCATTTCTACAAAAAATAAAAACGATTAGTCAGGCTTGGTGGCACACACTTATTTATAGTCCCAGCTGCTTGGGAAGCTGAGGATGTATGACTGCTTGAGGCCGGGAGTTGGAGGCTGCAGTGAGCTAGGATTATGATCACACCACTGCAATCCAGCCTGGGCAACAGAGTGAGACCCTGTTTCTAAAAGCAAAAAGCAAAAAAAAAAACATGCTGAGGGGTGAAGGTCTGAAGCAGCAAGTGCCTGAGCCCGATGAGCCCAGTGTGCTCAGGGGGCAGCAGGAGGACGGCATGGCCCTGGAGAGGGCGAAGATGCAGCCAGGGGCAGGCAGGGGACAGATCCCAAAATTTTATTCCAAATGGTGTGGAAGCCACTGGATACTTCAAGTGGTTCATGTTTTTAAAAAAGTCACTGCTGTGCGAGGACCCGGGGGGGGGGGGGGGGGGCAAGAGCAAAGCGGAAAGGAAAGGTGCAGCAGGAGACACGGCGGCCAGGCCAGCTGCGGGAAGGTGCGCAGAAGCAGATGGAGCCCCCGGGGCACGAACACACTGGAGGGCACCGGAGGGAAAGGGGAACCACGACCAGAGAAGGCAAAGACCAGACTCCTAAGTCTGAGACCTGGAAAACTAAAAGGAGGTACCAGTTTCTAGGTGAAGCAGCAGGTTTGAGGTGGCACTGTTCGGTTTAAGAGTGGCCAAGCGGTAGAGGCTGCGGGCTCCAAGTTGGGTTCAGGAGAAGGGATGTGCTGGGCACCAAATGCAGCCCCCGCAGGACAGCACATGGTAAGATGGGCTAAAGTGGCCTCCACGTGATGGGGAACGAGAGCCCGGAGTGGACTTGAGAGAAAGAGCAGAACAAACACGACTGTTTTTCTTCTCCTTCCCAAAAATGACAGTACAGAGAATTAAAAAGATGGGTTTAGAATTAAAAAGGCACAGACACAGGACAGGAAACGACAACAAGTAAAAAGGAAAGAAAATTCTGCAGGTGGAAAGTAGGTCAGTGAGTGGTAACTGACTCAGCAGATCAAACAAAGCCAGAACTGGGCTGCCAGGGTGGGGAGCACGCTGTTCTCACTGCAGTTCTCCAGAAAGGCACAGAAATTAGGTTCCTTGGAGAGTGGGGTGAGAGTTGACAGGGGAATCAGACACACTCCCAGGTCTCCACAGCCTCTGCCTAGACAACTGGCCCTATAGCAGCTGCGGCATCAAACCGGAGGTCATCAGGAGAAGCTGAAGGGACAGGTCAGGGGACACGAGCACAGAGGATGGCTGTGAACCGGGGGCAGGTAAAAGCCAACACATTAAGCAAGGACAACCTTTCCTGCTTGGCTCCCAGGGTGCTGGCACAGCTAGACAGGAAACCAAAAGATGGTAACTTGAGATCAAGATGTCTGAGAAACCTCCAGTGAAAACGTCTCATCTGGGCCTATCTCATCTGTGCCACCATGCCTGACTAATTGTTCTTATTTATTTATTTATTTATTTTGGAGACAGAGTCTCACTCTGTTGCCCAGGCTAGAGTGAGTGCCATGGCGTCAGCCTAGCTCACAGCAACCTCCAACTCCTGGGTTCAAGCAAGCTACTGCCTCAGCCTCCCGAGTAGCTGGGACTACAGGCATGCGCCACCATGCCCGGCTAATTTTTTATATATGCATTAGTTGGCCAATTAATTTCTTTCTATTTATAGTAGAGACAGGTCTCGCTCTTGCTCAGGATGGTTTCGAACTCCTGACCTCGAGCAATCCACCCGCCTCGGCCTCCCAGAGTGCTAGGATTACAGGCGTGAGCCACCACGCTCGGCCTGTTGTTATTTTTTGTAGAAATGGGTTCTTTTTTTTTGTTTTTTGAGACAGAGTCTCACTTTGTTGCCCAGGCTAGAGTGAGTGCCGTGGCGTCAGCCTGGCTCACAGCAACCTCAAATCTCCGGGGTCAGCGATCCTACTGCCTCAGGCTCCGAGTAGCTGGACTACAGGCATGCGGCCACCATGCCCGCTAATTTTTTGTATATTATTTTTTAGTTGGTCAATTAATTTATTTCTATTTTTGGTAGAGACGGGGTCTCGCTCAGGCTGGTTTCGAACTCCTGACCTTGAGCAATCCGCCCGCCTCCGCCTCCCAAAGTGCTAGGATTACAGGCGTGAGCCACCACGCCCGGCCTAGAAATGGGTTCTTGCTATGTTGCCCAGGCTGGTCTTGAACTCCTGGCCTCAAGCAATCCTCCTGCCTCAGCCTCCCAAAGTGCTGGAATTATTGGCGTGAGCCATGGCACCTGTCTCCTCAGGGCATTTGGACGTTCAGCACCCACTCCTGAGAGTCCCACCCCTGCCCTGTTTCTTCATAGCACTGATCTCTGCTGACCACTGCATGGGGAGGCCCCACCCTGGCACAGAACATCAAATACTCAAAGCAGAAAAAGACAAACCCATCTTTAAAAAAAAGATATCAAATACAAGGTACACAAAAGAAAAAGGATTCAGCTGGAAAATTAACTGTGGGCATTGAAGATGGCAGAGAGCAGCCAAGAGGAGGAAAGTGGGAGAACAACATAGGGAGGATGGGACAAATGGCTGAAATGAAAAGAGAATCCAACAGAGAAAACTGGAGTTTCTGGAGAAAACTAAACAATGAAATGGAATTCACATTTAAAACCCAAGAACGCTTTCCAGAAATAAAAAGTCTTTTAGGCCGGGCGCTATGGCTCACGCCTGTAATCCTAGCTCTTGGGAGGCCGAGGCGGGCGGATTGCTCAAGGTCAGGAGTTCAAAACCAGCCTGAGCAAGAGCGAGACCCCGTCTCTACTATAAATAGAAAGAAATTAATTGGCCAACTGATATATATATAAAAAAAATTAGCCGGGCATGGTGGCGCATGCCTGTAGTCCCAGCTACCCGGGAGGCTGAGGCAGAAGGATCACTTGAGCCCAGGAGTTTGAGGTTGCTGTGAGCTAGGCTGACGCCACGGCACTCACTCTAGCCTGGGCAACAAAGCGAGACTCTGTCTCAAAAAAAAAAAAAAAAAAAAAAAGTCTTTTAAAAACAAGGTCTATTTACAAAAAAGGCCTACAAAGTAGCTGACAAGCGGCCTAGAATGGTGAACTCTGAGACAGATCCTAGTAAGACCACTCACTAGCAAGGATTAAAAGTACCACAGCCAACAGGTGGAAAC